ATAGAGGTAAAACTCTCACCTGCATTGGTAGAAGCTGCTGAACTAATTTAGAAAATGAATGGTGATTCGGTACAAGGGCGAACAAAGGTGTGAAATGTATAAATGACCCAAAAAGATAATATTACCTTCAAAGCTATTTCTAGTATAGAGGTAAAACTCTTACCTGTACTGGTAGCTGTTGAAACGATATGGAAAGTGAATGGTGATTCGGTACAAGGGCGAATAAAGGTGTGAAATGCATAAATAACTATAAAAAGATAATTTTACCTATGGTATTTTCAGTATACAGGTAAAACTCACCTGTACTGGTAGGTTTCGATGGCGCCACTGGAGAAGAGAGCTGGGTAGCAGATGTGGAAGACACGGCACGAGTTGTCCTGGTCAGCGTAGTATCCGTATGGCCGGTCAAGGCACTCAAAGGAGGTGGAGATACTTCCCAGCAGGAAGCTCGCACCAGACGGAAGGTTCAGAGGCTCAAAGACGCCATCGACAGAGTCAGCGGCAGACTCAAAGGATGAACCAGAACGAACAAGAGCGCTGGTCTGAGACTGAGAGTTCTGTGAGAAACGGCTGTTGGTGTTCTGTTGGTTGAAGTTGGATTGGAAGCGATTGTCAGATTGTTGGTTGATGTTGGACTGGAGGCGAGCGTTGGAAGTCTGTTGGTTGAGGTTAGACTGGAAGCGTGCGTTAGAAGCCTGCTGGTTTGTGTTGGATTGAAGACGAGCGTTGGAAGTCTGTTGGTTAAGGTTAGACTGGAAGCGTGCGTTAGAAGCCTGCTGGTTGGTGTTGGATTGAAGGCGAGCGTTGGAAGTTTGTTGATTGATGTTGGACTGGAGACGAGCGTTGGAAGTTTGTTGGTTAAGATTGGACTGAGGGCGAATGTTGGAAGTCTGTTGGTTGAGGTTAGACTGGAAGCGCGCATTGGACGTCTGCTGGTTGATGCTGGACTGCAGACGAGCGTTTGAAGGCTGTTCATTAGGCTGGAAGCGGTTAATGGAGCTCTGCTGGTTGGTGTTGAATTGGAAACGGTTATTGGAGTTCTGGTTGGAGTTGGCAAACTGGACATTGGAATCAGTAGTTCTTTGGTTATCCTGGATAAAGGCTTGAGAATCTCTCTGGTTAGTGAATGCCCCAGAAGATTCCTGACTGAAACGTGTAGCAGCATTCTGTTGATTGTTAGCCTGGAAAGCATTAGCCTGCTGGTTGACCTGGAAACTGCTCTCAATGTTGGCCTGGTTGTTGATGATTTGGGGTTGTCTGCCTTGGTTGATGCTGGTCAGGAACGCACCAGCAGCACTTCCTCTGTTGCTGCTGGTCTGGAAACGGTTTCCAGATGTGAACTGGCTGTTACTAGTCTGGAACTGGCTTCCGGAATTAATCTGGTTAGCATTGGCTTGGTTACGGTTGGCACCACTGAACTGGCTAGATTGGGTGAACCTGTCAGTATTCTGTTGGCTGTTGATACTTGACTGGAATTGAGTTGCCCTGTTCTGTTGGAGGTTATCTGAGGCAAAACGATTCTGCTGGGTTTGCTGGAAGCGGCCACCCTGGAACTGATCGCGGTTGGTTCCAGCATTGGCTTCGAACTGGCTGTTCTGGAATGCTCCAGAACTCGCGCCTGAGCTTGATGATCCTGATCGGAAGAAAGTTTGCTGATTGTTGCTGAAGCTGTTGGAATTGGAAAGGCTATTCTGGAATTGCTTGCCACTGCCTTGGCTAGAAGAAAACCTGCCCGACTGTTGGAAGTATCCGGGAGTAGCGAGTCTGACAGCAGTGTTGAACTGCCTTTGTTGGTCGAACTGCTGCCCGGCGGCCACCGCCACGAGCACGACTGGAAGTGGATGTTGAGTCAGAAGTGTTATATACTATTTGATGTGTGGATTTATGAACAGATAAAAAATAGGACTATAGAATATTGCTTTTACACAATAGAATAAAACGAAAAAATAAATCACTTCTAGAATACAAATATTGCCCCCCACCCCATCAAATTCACAGAAAGGACTCACCAACAGCCAAAGTCTTCATAGCTGCTTGTGTAGGGTCGCCGCAGGTAGCTATGACCCGAAGCGCTCGCCCAGCACCTTATATACCTCGGCAGATGGGCGGGGGTGGGAACGCCAAGGGGACCTGGACGGGTTGCATAGTGGTTGGAGGTTATTGGTGCCTCGTCTCGGGTTGGGGACTGGAACGGGTTATCTTTAGCAATAGCAAGTTGGGCCGTCGATGAGGGAGTTGGCGATATGCTGTTAATGATGATGTCGGGGCTGTGTTGATGTTAGGTGTTGCTATGGGACGCTGGAGTTGGACATACACATGCAAATATATGTATGAATATACTCATGTGTGTAAATATATATATATACCTATATATACATATATGTATACGTATGTATGTATGTGTCTGTATATATATATATACCTATATATACATATATGTATACGTATGTATGTATATATATATATTTATATATATATATATATATATATAATATATATA